TTGTTTTTTAAATGTCTTCTGTCTGCATGGCGAAAGAATAAGAAGAAGAGATCATATTCATTACTCTGCTTGTATGCATGTCGCTGCCATCAAGCGTTAATGATAGAGATGTTAGAAAGATGGGTCCATCTGCATCTGCCAAACAGACAGAGCAGAAAAAGAAGAAAAAAAAAGACCTATCATAAACCATTTTTCTTCTTCTTCCAGCACATCTCTTCATCATCCAATCATGCCCGCTTCTTATAAACAACATGCCAATCGTCGTCTCATCAACACATCTTGCATCCGGTCTCACCCCTTTCGACTATCATCAGTTCTATATACCGTTTTCTTTCTGCTTGAGAAAAGAAAAACATATCTTTTTTCTTTTCTCGCTCTCGTCTACAGTTGGTTAATGGATCGTAGCGTTTGAAGTAAACTAACCAATCACGAAATGAATATAATGTGCGTTCGGAAGAGAGAGAGAGAGAGCAAACCAGAAAGAAATGAAGATGAGCTCTTTCTCTTTATAGTTAAGAAGAACTGCTTTTCTTCTTCTTGTTTCGAATAAACATAAGCAGAGGTCGAACAAATCTAAACACACTTATCCTGCCAGTGTATATGTGTTTGCCTTTTGTCGAATTTGTAAACGACTCATTACTTATGTCTCGAATCTGTCAGGCTTAGTTTCTTTCTGATATTACTGTCTCATCATCAATTGCATAAACATTTTGTTTCAAAAATATACATATAGATTTATATATTGTCTTCTGTACTTTTCTCTTTCGTCATCATCATCATTATCATCATTATTATTATTATTATCACCATTACTATTATTATTTCTAGTAGTTGTAGTGTTAGTTGTAGTTGTTGTTGATATTGTATATAACAAACGACTAAGATAAAACAAATTTGTATATACTTCTTAATGTTTATTAAAACTCCTTATTGTAGAATAAACAACACAACAATAGTTAAGATTTATAGTAAGGTAGGTGTAATATTTTGTTTATTAGAGAAAAGAAATATTTATAGATTTATGAATTTTTTTTCCCTAATTGATTATGTTAAAAGAAAAATTTTTAACTGTTAACTCTAAATATAATAAATAAATGATTTAGATTTTGAAAAAATAAAAACAAAACGCAATACGAGTATTTCTCTTCTTTATTTTTTTCTTTCTTATAGACTTTGTTATAGTGTATGGTGATTATTGAGAAATCATCTTCAACAATTGACACTTGTCAAATGAATATTAAAATTGATACAGATAAACCAGTTACGTTGTCGATTAATACAACTAATGAACATCATCATTTACATACAACGTCAACACCATCATCTATTTATCATCCTCGAAATCCTTCAACTACTGGTCCAATGAATGTTAATAATACAAATCCAGGTCATTTTCATCATCATACACATTTATATAATACTGCAAGTGGTTATAATTATTCATCAGCACCATCACAAGCACCACCACCACCCCCATCAGCTAGTTATTATTCAATGCCACCAAATAATCTTTATAATGATCCATATTCTCAATGTTCACCCTATTGGAAAGCAGCAACAGCAGCAGCAGCTGCTGCTGCTGCATCATCGGATATTTCAAAAACGAATAATAATCATTCAAATCGACTTTCATATTCTATTGATCATTCTCATTCAACAAATATGCATTATATACCATCATCAACAGGTTTATCATCTCAATTAGATATTAAATCTGAACATTCATCACCAATTAAAAATAATACACAATTAATAATGTCAGGTGAAGATGATTCAAATGAAAGTCATCCAACAAATACTGAAGATGATAATGAAGATGATGATGATATGAATTTAAAAACACCAGAAAAAGAAGAATCAAATAATCCATCAGGAAATGCACCAAGAAAATCTAATCGTCGAGCAGAAAAACCACCATGTAAGTGTTATCTCATTATTTTCTTTCTTTTTTTCTTCTTTCTTTCTTTCTTTCTATTAATTTGATTGTTAATATAATATGTCATCTTCTAGATTCTTATATTGCTTTGATTGTCATGGCTATCAATAGTGCACCAACAAAAAAAATGACACTTTCAGAAATCTATTCATTTTTACAACAAAGTTTTCCATTTTTTCGTTCAACTTATATGGGATGGAAAAATTCTGTTAGACATAATTTAAGTCTTAATGAATGTTTTATTAAATTACCAAAAGCAATGGGTAAATTGAAAAAAAAATAAAAAAAAATAAAAATGAATTTTTTTTTTTTGTTAGGTCGAACTGGTAAAGGACATTATTGGACAATTGCACCTGATTCAGATTGTATGTTTGATGATAATTGTATGCGTCGAAGACCTAGAGGTAATGATTGTTAATTGAAATTTTTATCTTCTTTTTTTTTTTCAATGCTTATTTATTTTGTTCTCTTTTATCATGTAGGATTTCGAAGAAAATTAGGAAAACAATCAGGATATCCAAATCTTTTAGGTCAATTAGATTCGACCGTTGTAACAAATGTTAGTGGTATTGCAACATCATCATCATCGTCATCATCAACAATGGATCCAAGTACAATTAATTCTTACAATCCAAATCCATCATCATCATCTCCTTCGACTTCAACTGGTATTAGTGCTGCAAATTATTTTGATCTTAGTAATTATGCTGCATCATCATCATCAACAGCAGCAGCAGTCAGTGGACATCATTCGTCAGATCTCTATGCAGCTGCAGCTCTCATGGCCTCATATTCTTCTACTTATCCTCATCGTTCTCATTTTACAACCAATAATTCATCTTGTTCGTCGTCATCATCAGCATCAACAACAACTACAAATGCTTTAACGACAAATGCAAGAGTTACAGATGAGAATGATTCAGGAGCACAAGTACACTTTACAAATAGTGTACATTATGCACCAGGTCCATCTCAATCAGCTTATTTTTCTTATGGAAATCCACCAACTCATCCATCAACAAATTCGTCATTTGATCCACATAATCATTTTTATACAAATCCATTTGCTGGATTTCTTGATCAAAAACATTCACTTTTGCCGTCAACATTTTCTTGCTATGATCATCATCCATCGTCATCAAACTATTAATTTTTCTTTTTTTCCTGTTTTCTTTTTCTTTTTATTCATTTGCGTGTGTAATTTTTTTTTTCTTCTCTCCGTTCTCTTTTTCTTTTTTTCTTTTTGCTGTTCTTTCGATGATCTCAAAGATCGTTGGTGTTTGTTTTGTTTCCGGCAGGTGAATACTTTCACTGAAATATGATGATGTGCAATTGACTTATATCATTTTTTTGTGTATAAGAGAAAAAGAGAACGAGAATTATTATCTAGACAAGTATAACAATTGTATGCTTTGTTGCTTGAATGCATCAATTGAAGAAATGGTTGGTTAGTTGTATTTCCTTTCCTTAGATTTCTCCTACTGTGAAATCTCGTCAATAGATCGACACCGTTAGATTGTTTGTCTCATCAGGAGACAGGAAAATGATGATATCAATCCATCAAATTGATAGATAGACATCTGTTCCTAACAAAATACTTTGCATTTGCTATCCTAGTAGTACATCAAGAATAATGATGATCTATGAGTATTCTTCAAATTGGAATAATATCATTTATTTCTTTACAAAATTTATACAACTATGTTGCAGATTTAATTTTTTTTTTTTTGTCTATATCTCAAAAATATTCCTCCAATAGGATGAATGTGTATCAGTGTTTTATCCAGTGTCAGGGCGATGCTTCTCCAAAGAACGCGTTGATCCTTCCGAAGTTTGTGGTTATTGTACTGGGTATCTTATTTTTATGCTCTTAAAAAATAGATGTTTTTCCCTCCGGAAGAGAAGAATCTGGATAAAAACACTGATGTGTATGTTTATATGAATAATTCTCGAATAACAAATCATTCTATTTGGAAGAGTTATTATATTGAATTTTCTACCATTATGTCATCATGCATCTTTTACTTAAAGTGTAACTCTAGTTTTATAACAACAAATATCTATTCTCATTATCTGTTATGGAGATATGAACAAGAATCATCTCGATTATTACTATCTGTTACGATTTTCGTAAACAACAGAGTTGTCGAATACATAAATATGCAGAATACATGAAGTATTAATGAATTGAACAAAAGTAATGAACATCATGCCGACTGTGTAAGACGTCTCGAGCTGATTGACATTGGTAGAAAATGGTATCACATTTCTTTTTGCTAGTACATGTATTACTAAGCGAGAAAATAATCAAATTTTTTTTTTGACTAGAACTAGAAGCGAACACTACTCATTCCGCTCATCGCTACTGTTACATCTTAGACTATATACGTAACAAACAATTTGATTAATATTATTAAATCTGAATTATTTCAAGGAAAGATTCTATGGAAAATGACACACATGTAAGAACAATTTCACTTAAGTATACGAGATTTTCTATAGATATTTTTTTGTTTAAGTGTTACAAACAACTGAAGTATGAATTGAAATAATTTGTTTTAAAATGATAATAAACTTTAATTATCTGCTAATTGAATTACTATTTTAATAATAAGATTTTGTGTGAAATGTTGTTTAATTTTAAAAAACACTATCTATATGTTGAATTCAAAAAGATTTGTTTGACAATACTTAAGACTACTAGAGAACTTCGACTATATGTAAGTGTGTAGACAAATCTTTTCTCTATTGAATGGTGTATATATTATCAGACTTTACTGTGTACCGTTGACAAGCTAATAGGTGCTACCATCTATCAACATGTCAACAGTACGCAGTGGAACTTGATAATGTATACATTATTAGATAGAGAAAGTTTTTCTCTTGAAGGCCACATATATTTTTGTTTTCTATACTCAAAAATAATCGAAATTTTGATATTTTATATATTATCAATTGATAAGTTACAATGAATTGAACAAAAAAGATTCTTTTTTTTAACAAAAAAAAAAACGTATTTTTATTTAATATGATGATAAAGTTGATCATAGTATTTTTGTTGGTTTCAATTGAATTTAATATTTTTGTAGGCTTCCATTGCACCATCAATAAATTCTAGAAAATCATTTATTTATAATAATTATTTACATAATAAGAAAAAAAAAATATACATACGTTCATAAGTAACTTTGCTATTTTTATCTTTTTGAAATATCTTATTAAATATTTCGATTTGATCTTGATTTAATTGTTTACCTTTTTCTTTTATTACTTGTTCAAATTCTTGTTTATCAACAAAACCATCATCATTCAAATCTTTAATTTATTTTTAAAAGAAAAAAACATAAAATAATATAATTAAAAAAAAATATTCACTATGCTTTTTTTTCTATTTTACCAAATGTATTAAATAAATCACGTAATCCAAGAGTACTTGTTGGAACATATTTATTCATCATTACTGTAAATTCTTCCATAGTAATATCACCACTAGCTATATATATATACATAAGAATTCTAATTAAATTAAATAAAAGAAAAACAAAATATATTACTATCAATATCAGCTATTTTCATGAATGCAGCAAGTTGTTCTTCTGTCCATGAATAACCTGAGACTGTTTCAACTAGTCGTTTAATTTCATCTTGTGTAATACGACCATCATGATCGGTATCAAACAAAGAAAAAAGTAATTTCAATTCTCAAAAAACAAAACAAAAAAATGAACAAGTATAATTTAATTTCTTGAATGAAGACAAAAAAAAACCAATAATTTACCTTGAATATCATGTGTAGTCATTTTGATTGAAATAAACTATAGGATTTAAAAACAAACACGTAACTGTAAATTGATGTAGTGATTCTTATCTTGCCTAACAAATTATATTATGGTTTGTTTTAAGCAAACATTGAAAAGATATGAATATTTAAGTCAGTTAGAGACATACTTTTAAGGTGAATAATTATTTTACTAAGTAGATCTGTTCTTCATTTTGTATTTCATTACTGTCATTTATTAAATAACTAGAACAAAATATTTTATATTTGTTTGTATCTTCAAATATAGATCATGATAAATTTCAAAGTTCAACTCTACAATCAAGATTTATTAAATAATTGTCTCAATATTTAAGTACAAAAACATTTATGTTTAAAAAGAAAAATATCATATATTCAAACTGAATTGAAACTTGAAATCTTGCATTATATTTTAGAAAAATTTATTCATAATAATATCTTTACCTTGAAATGAAACTAGTCAAATAATTCTTTTGCACTTTATATTTTGTTATTGTTATATATCTTTTATTTTTTATCTTTATAAAAAACAAGTATTTTAATTTTTGATAAATATTTATTTTATTTCAACACTATAAAGGAAAAATTTATTTTATTATTATTATTATTTTAAAACTATAATGAAATTGTTTTTATAATTGATTAAAAATATTTTCAATTTTTATTGAGACTATTGTAATATTCATTGGCACCTTCGACAAATTCTAAAATGATCATATAATATTAATAAATATCATTATTAAAATAACCAACAAAAAAAAAATACATACGTTCATAGGTAATTTCACTGGTTTCATTGTTTTGAAATTTTTTCTCGAATATATTAATTAAATTTTGATTCAAATTTGTTTTAGTTTTTTTCACCTGTTCAAATTCATCTTTTTCAACAACACCATCACCACTTGTATCTTTATTTTTAACAAAAAAAAAAAAAATAATTTAAGAAAAATTTTACTAATTTTTTTTTCTTTCTCTCTTACCAATTGTTCGAAATATACTTTTTAAACCATATGTACCTTGTGGAACATTATTATTTATAAAAGCTACAAATTCATCCATAGAAATATCACCACTATCTATAAAAATCAAATAGAAATTCTAATCAATGAAATATCTAAAAAATACTATTTACTATCAGTATCAGCAAGTTTTAGATATTCATCAACTTCTTTTTCTGAAACTGAAGGACCATCAGGATCAGGTGATTGAAGTAATTCTTTAAGTTCTGCTCTTGTTAGTGTTCCACTGTTATCAACATCAAATAGAGTAAAAAGTAATTTTAATTCTACAAAAAACAAAAAGAAATTAAAATTAAGAAAAACACATATATGAGAAAATCATATACCTTGGCTTGCTTCTGTTGCCATTGAGAAAATTATGTGACATTGGTGCAAACATACCTATGCTTATATTTAATACCCCATATCTTATCTTATCAAATGCTTTGACGTAAATTCATGAAAGCAAATGGAATATTAATTTTGATATTTATCTTGTATTATTACGTCAATAACAGACTGAAGAGCCATTTTAGATAACAAAATACAAAGATCTCTTGAAAAAACTTTGATCATATTGTATTTGTTTCTTTAAAGAATTAATCTTTACTGTGAGTACATATTGATAATTTCTGTTCTAAATAGACAAGTAAATATTAGTATTTCGTGTATTACTTATCAGAGTAAAGCTTGAATAAAAAATGAGCTCAACTAATAAAATCAATTGTATAAATGTATTGCACTAAAATAGGAAAATAAAAAGATGATTAATAAATTAAACAAATATATAGATTCAATCGAATTTCTAAGAAAAACTTTAATCTGTTAATCTCAAATTCAGGTTCACGAATGGTTTTGTTTAATCATTTCTGTTAAAATGAATATACTTGAATGTTTACTAAAGGACACTATAGACTATATAATACAGTGGCAGATCCAGGATGGAAGACTGGCCGTCTTCCTCTTTGAAATCTATATATATATGCTATAACCTAAGTATCTTTGTATTTCTATGAGATTTACAGAAAAAAGTAATGTACGGTTTTTCGCTATTTGAAAGTTTATAGTGCTTGTATTCTACAATGAACGATTCCCAAGAAGGAAAACCACTTATATATATATGCTTTACGTAGTGTCATTACTTCTATCAAATACTCTTTCTCTTATTGGATATAACTTCTTTTATTGTCGCACAACTGATGAGTATTTGTCGAGTTTAATATTGAAATAATTAACAGTCATGTTAACAGTTCATTTATGCTCGTTCTATCGGTGATTAATAAGTATTAGATTAACTACGTAATTCATATTCGATGCAGTGATATGTCCTTTATTAGGGCATGATGTAAACTTTTCAAATTTATATATTTGACATAGATATCAACAGATTTATATGGAAAAGTAACATTTTAATGTCTATCAAACCCTCTAATTAATAAGTACAGAAGTACTTTTCCTGATATCTGCGTTTATTGAAACTTATTCAATGTTATTGTCTTCTTCTATATTGATATCAACATCTTTGTTGTCAAATTCTTCGTAATTCTTTGCATTTTTAAATATGATGTATAGGTTCCATTGACAAAGAATCATCATTAATAAGTTATCGCAGCATCTTTGAGTAAATATACTTCTTTTTCTGACCATCTCCTCTGACAGTCATCATGGTCAACACCATCAGTTTATAAATCAATATCTATTTCTTTAATTGAATACACAAATAAGAACAATTAATTAAATCGATTTTAACAAACGAAAGTTACTCTGTATAAACAAATTTGCAAACAAGAAAAATATAAGAAATATATCACAGTGATATAAAAAAATCGAGATAAGATAAGTTTTACGGGCGCATAAAATGAATCATTATGTTTATTTGCTAGTAGCTATCGTCTTCTACAATAAAGTTAAATGTTCACCTGAATTTTAAGATCAAAGAACTATAGGATTATTTGTTTTCTCGTATATTTGTACATAATCTATTGTTATTTTCATCATTGGTCCATGTTCATTAATAGACTAAAAATCTATCATACACAAACATCAACAATCAATCTCATGATTCGCTTTAACATATATCTTTTATGTCATAGACATAGAAAAATATCAGAAATAAATGAAATTATTTTATTTTTATACAGATATACGTATATATCTTTACATTAGAAAGTATGCAGAATTCTTATTAGTAAATAATTCTCAAATTGTATTAACTATCAAAATAATTCATGAAATAAAATATATTAAAATATCAAATCTACGCTTATAATGTTTCAACTCGACGTGAAAAATCTGTATATATGAAATTTATAAATAGGATATATTGCCTTTCGTTTGTCTTAACAAAAGACACGATAATATCTTTATTAATTTGCATCAGAATGGATCGGAAAAAAGGCTGTCTCGGAGCAGGGACAGTCATCCCTTCCCCAAAATCTTGAGAGATTTTAGTTTTTCCCAGCGAACCTCAAGCGTTTTATTCCCTTTTTTGGCTCACCAATTCTAAAAAAAACGCTCGGTTTTCCAAACCCGGTCAATACTATCAAAAATCTTTTAATCGGTATCCTGAGTCATCGACCCCCGTCCCCAATCCTGGCGATCTTGAGCTACCCTTGCTTATGTATCCTTCGAGTTTAAGCCAATAAATCTCAGTATTTCATGAATACTTGTTTTGATGATATTATACAGTGAACCATGGGCAGCGCGCTCTAGCACCGCACAAGAGCCAGCAGTTGCTTTTCATAAGAAAAATTTGAGGAAGCAATAGAATCTTATTCCTTCTCAGTATATTCCACGCCTCTTGTTTATACTAGAGTAAGACTACTTAATCCAAAACATATATATATATATATTCAATACGACTCTGTAGTTCATGTAAGAAGATTGATTCATAGTTTCATGATTTTACTTATCGTTATCCTGATGAATTCACTTCTTTTCATCTATATCCGACATGTGATAATTTAAGCAATACATAATCGACATTTTGATTATTTTGAATTCTCTTCCGCTGAGATAAGCGATCTTCAAGGTTTGCATTGGATCAAGATCAATAACGTAATCGCAAATCAACTTCCATCTCTTTAAGACTGGTTATATGATACTTAATGATTTTATTCAAAAGAATTGAAGTTCGATTAACCAACCTTTAATGGACGAAACGTAATGACTAATCTTCTTTGCTGTTTGTTAATAATAAAAGTGGGATTGCCATTCGGAATTCATAATTTGTTTTTGTTTTCTTTTTAACAAAATTTACAATTTAGATATTTAAATTTAAAATCAAAATAATTAAAAAAAACAAACTTACCTATAACTTCGCAATCAGAGAGTATTAAAAATACATTTCAGATGTTGTTTAATAATCATAAAAAGCAAAGCTAGATGTTTTCGGATAGCTCAGGGATCTGACGAGATGGCTTCAATCTGAGAAACAGCAATAGATTTTGCTGCTTGAATGTCCACTACTGAAGGAGAGAGCAGGCAAAATGGATCTATTGAAAACTTAATTGCTTCTTCTAAAAAATTGACCATATGCCGTAAACTAAAAATCCATGTATAGAAATGAAAAAATTAATACGTAAGATGTCGTTAGATCACGTCGTATATATATTAACATAAATGAAAATAAATTTTCCAATTGGCTAAAATAAATTCCAGTATATTTTGTGTGTTATAAACAGACGAGATTTAAAAAATTTTCTTTGTCTTATTAGTATTCATTATTTTCAAACGATTGAAAATCAAAATTGTTATTATTGTTCTTATTATCAAGCATTATTGTTAAAAAAAAATGCCATTATCAATTGAATCTGAAATTGATCTTCTTTATCATCTATCAACAATGTCTGAACATGTTTTACCGAAAGGAATTTTTTATCTTCTATTATGGAAACGTCTTAATCAATCTAGCATTCCACCTACTTTTTCATTCAAGGAAATGGTTGATCATCTTCGTACATTGTATAAAAAAAAACAAAATTTTCTTTTTTTCAAAAAAAAATTTTTTTATTTTGATTAAAATAGATATGATGAAAGTGTTTTTGATAATCCAGAATTACCTGAATCAAATGATCATGATTTTCAATGGAACCCCGGTGATATTGAACAACAACAACAACAACAACAACAATCTGAAAAAGATCCATCAAATAAACTTGAAACAACACCAATACCAACAACACCTCAATCTTTAACTAAAACACGAAAACGTCCAACATCACCATCATCAATTACAACTAATAATGATATTAATCGTCGTAGTAGTCGACAAAAAAATAATACACAAACAAAAGATGAAGAACAACAACAGCAACAAACAAAAGTTGAAAAACGAAAATCTATTAAAGATTCATCTCGAATATCAACACGATCAATACCTAATAATGATTCCATTGGTACACGTTTACGAGGACAAAAATAGAATTATTCCAAATATTGTATATAATATTTTTTCTTTTTCACAAAACAAAAAAAAAAAGAAATAGAACGAAATAAAAATAAAAAATAAAAATATCAATTATATAGATATAAACAATGATCTGTTATTCTAATAAATTTATATTGTAGAAATCAATAAATATACATCTTAATTATGTCTCGTGCAACAGATCAACCAAATCCACCCACGCCACCAACACAACTTGATAATGATGAAAAACGTATATTAGCTGAATGTGAACGAGAATCACTTATTTATCGTAGTATACCATTAGGTCTTACGGCTTTTTTTGCAACACAATATGCTATGTCAAGAAATTTAATAAAACCACAAGGAAGATGGATTAAACTTGGTGCAAGTCTATTTACTGGTTATCTTCTTGGCAAGATATCATATGCACCAACTTGTCGAAATAAAATTCTTACACAAATTCCAAATAGTAATCTAGCATATGCAATTCGTGGTGTTGAAGCTCGACATGAATCTGTTAATTCTGATGAACAACAACAACAACAACAACAGCCTCAATCATATATGTCAAGAAAATCAAAAGATCCTAGTGAAGCTGTTGTATTTCTACCTGATCCAGTTGAATTTGATACGCATACACTTCCAGTCGGTGTTAATCAGTATGGTGATCCAATTTATGATACGACTAAATGATTATTTGACTGAAAAAAAAATGTTACACTTTTTTTTGTTTCTCTAAGATTTTCCCTTGTGTACTTACTGATGACAGTGATTAGACGAAACTGTCAAAAAGTAGACCATGTTTTTTTTCTTGACATATTCATTTAATTTAGCAACCTGATTTTTTTTAAAGATAAATATGCACACAGTTCTCATGTTTTTATCTTGTTCTTTTTCAGAATAGAAACACATTATTTTTATTAATGTTCGCATTAGAATTAAAGAGAAGCGAGTGTAA